GCCGTAGCATCACAGCTCACAGCAACCTCAAACTCTTGGCCTTAAGTGATTCTCTTGCCTCAGCCTCCCAAGTAGCTGGGACTATAGGTGCCTGCCACAACACCTGGCTGTTTTTTTGTTGTCATTGTTTTAGCTGGCCTGCAGCCAGGTTCAAACCCTCCAGCCTCAGTGTATGTGGCCGGTGCCCTACCTGCTGAGATCCAGGCACTGCCTGAAGTTTAGACTCTTAATATCCAGTTTCTGCCTGACAGATGTACTTGAGAGTCCATAACTGAACTCTTTAGGCCTCTCCCCAAACCTGTTCCTCACATAGCTTGCCCATCTCAGTAAGTGACACCTCCCTGGGACCATTGATGCTTAGGCCAAAGGCCTTGAGTCATCCTTGGCTCCTGTCTGTGCTCCCCAGAGTTAATGCAAAGGCAAGTTCTGCAGGTGTTCTCCTCAGAGTGGGTCTAGAATCTGACCCCGTCTCGCCTTTTCCCTTCTCCCACCTGGGGCTAGGCTCTACCATCTGATGTTTACCGTACGTCTGTACTGCTTGGTAGCCTGCCCACTGGCCCTCATTTCTGCCCTTGCCTCCCTACAGTCTGCTTTTCACCCAGCAACCAGAGTAATCATTTAACCCCTAAGTCATTCTGCTGCTCAGAACTCTCCAGCAGGTTCTGTTCACACCTAGCAAACACTGTAGCTCAGAGGGGCCCACAAGGCTATGTGATCTCCCCACCTTCTTCTTGATCACACTGGCTCTGTCCCCTGCACCTGGACTGCAATCACCTTCTCTCCAATACACCAGCCATGTACCTCCAGGGTCCCTGCACCCTCCTACCTGCTCCCCCTTCTGCTCCAGCGGCCCTTTCCCAAAGGGTCCATATGACCCTCATTTCTTCCCAGTTGCCAGTCATATGTCCCCTCGCAGACCTTCTCGGTTACCCTAGAAAAACCAGGGCCCCGTCTCTGTTCCTGCACCTGCTTGCGTTTTCACCACATATGACTCCTAACTTCACATATTTCCTGGTTTATTGTCCATCTGGTCTTGGCTGATGTCTGGTGTGAGAGCAGACCTGTGCATTCACTGCCTTCTGTCAGCACTGAGAACAGTGCCGGGTACTTACAGGCAGATAGATAGTGGCCGAGTGAGTGAGCCTTCTTCGCTTCTGTCTGCATCACCTGCACCCCATTTGGGAACCTTCCATCCTTTGTTCTGGACATGACTGGTGGTGGTAGCTACTGTGCTTTACCATGTATCTTAATGTCTTCTACTTCCCACGTGTAGTGGCTCAGAACAACTACTAGAAACACCAAAATGGTTTATTGGCTATGTGAACACAGATGGGTTTGAAATTCTCAAGTTACTGTTCTATTGCCATTGGAGAGGTTTGGAGCCTGAGTTCTCCCCTCCCCACTCCAACCCCCCCCCTTTTTTTCCCCATGTTTTATCTGTTTGGTTTGGGAATTTAGTCCTGGACATGATGGCACATGGAATGATAGTCAGCTACAAGAAATGGCCCAGCTGAGGATTAAACACCAAGAAGAACTGACTGAATTACACAAGAAACGTGGAGAGGTAAACCAGCCGTTCTCATCTGTCCTCTGTTCCTTGTGAGGGCCCCATGGGGAGAGATGGGAGTATAGTTCACTTACCCCTAGAATTGGCAGCAGTCTTACTTGGCCAAATGTGTCACAAGAATGAAAGGGTAGGGAAAAGTGAAAATGCCACTCTGTTTTTGAGTGTGAGCCCTGAAATTTCAGAAACCTTCACTAGGAAGAAGCAAGTCCTAGGCTGTGCTGACCCTGGGTGGTGGTCTGGCAAAGCTCCAGATGGGAAAATACTGTTGCTCATCAGTTCAGCTGGGGTGATAGTTTCTTCAGCAGAAGTAAGTCTTTGAAAAGGCAGCAGGTTAGGGGGTAGGCACTTGTCCTCAGTGAGCCCCAGGTGGTCACACAGAACACTTGCCTTTTGTCCAAGCCATGCTTCACCAGGGAGCAGCAGGGATATTTCCCATATGTGTTCTCAGAGGCCCTTCTACTCCCTGGCACCCAGCTTGTTTATGCCTATAATCCTAGCTCTCTGGCAGGCTGAGGCAGGTGGATTGCCTGAGCTTAGGAATTTGAGACTAGCCTGAGCAACAAACAAGACCTCTTCTCTAAAAAAAATAGCCGGGCGTTGTAGCGGACACCTGTAGTCCCAGCTACTTGGGAGGCTGAGGCAAGAGAATTGCTTGAGCTCAAGCACTTGGGAGACTGAGGCAAGAGAATTGCTTGAGCTCAAGAGTTTGATGCTATGAGCTGTAATCCCACAGCCTTCTACCCAGGGTGACAAAGTAAGACTCTGTCTCCAAAAAAAAAAAGGAATTAGTCACCCAGTATGTAGTTTCCAAGTAAGGGCCTAAAATCTCTTTGTTCTTCTTTATTTTCCAGTTAGCTCAGTTGGTGATTGACCTGAAAAACCAAATGCAGCAGAAAGACAGGGAGATGCAGATGAATGAAGCAAAGTGAGTAGAGGCTACGCATCCTTGGGGCCTGGTCATTGGGTCACATGTCCTATTTTGCTGTACCCTTATGAGTGGGGTCAGTAGTGGACAGTGGCCACAGTGCATTCAACAAGTTTTGTTTCAATGCATGCACACTCTGGGATGCTTTTCTACTAGGTCTAAGAAGGCGGCAAGGACCACTCTCCTCAGGGCCTGGGTCTTCCAGCATCTGCCTAGGAAAGTAACCTTGCCCCTTACAGGTGTTCCAGAGGCACCCCTGGTTCTCCTATGGCTGCTGTGTGTGGTGGCTGGAGTCATCCTCTCATGGGGTTAGGGCCAGGAGAGCTGAGTATGTGGCCCTTGGGAGCAGGAGAATGAGTTTGTGAGCAAAACTGTTGTTGGCAGACCTGGCACATGAGATAAATGGGATCTCCAGCCTTGAGGCTGGAGAGGCTCTTGAATTTCCTTGGTATGTGGGGAGGGATCTAGAGGGTTAGAAAGGTGGAATGCTTGTCAGGGATGGTCAGAGCTGGGGAAGAAACACATAGGCTCCTGATAAGGCCCTTGTACCTTTCTATCTAAGCATCCAAAATGCCCTCTTCCTTTAAATTCCAAATGATGCTTTTACTAGTCATTTGTAGGATGAATTTCCCCTTTAGGACTTTTCTCTGAACTATCGGGCTGGGCCTGGCTAAGAGATACAGTGAACATGAAGTGTTGGTTTCACATGGGGCCTGGTGTGATGACCCCTGAGTTGGAGCATTCAGCCAGGTGGCTCTGGTGGCGGGACTCTGGCAAGTACTATTCTTCCTTTAATGTCATGCTTTCAGAATTGCAGAATGTTTGCAGACTATTTCCGACCTGGAGACAGAGTGCCTGGAACTGCGCAGTAAGCTTCAGGACCTTGAAAGAGCCAACCAGACCCTGAAGGATGAGTATGATGCCCTGCAGATCACTTTCACTGCCTTGGAGGAGAAACTGAGGAAAACAACTGAAGAGAACCAGGAGCTGGTCACCAGGTGGATGGCCGAGAAAGCCCAGGAAGCCAATCGTCTGAACGCAGAGAACGAAAAGGACTCCAGGTGGGGCATCAGTCTAGTTAGTGGTTGGTTTCCATTTTCAGTAAAGTAGATCCCAGTTCTTTGAAAAGAAAGAAACAGTTCTAGTAGTTCTAACTTCAGGGTGAGAGGGCAAGAAAAATATAAACCACTAACAAAATTAGAAATATTGGTAGTGGATATAAAAGAAGTTTGCATTTATAAGGATGCTTTGTAGATAAAAGAATAGCTCCCAGAAGGGCATGGGCCCATACTCTTGCCAGGGAATTTGTTCATTATTTTGAGAGGAAAAGCAAATTCCTGACAATATAAATTAAGCCAGAATTAGAGAAAGACTAGAATCTTTGCCACCAAATTTAGGAAGCTATTCAGACCCATGTACTCAAATAAATACATCACTTTAGGTAAGATAATACATGATCATTTTAGTACATCCCAAAGGACCATTCTGGTTAATTCTGATAGAAAATCTTAAATTATTACAAGAACTTTAAATAAAATACCTATCTCTGGCTGATCAAAGTGGCTCATGCCTTCTAGCACTCTGGGAGGACAAGACAGGTGGATTGCTTGAGCTCAGGAGTTCTAGACTAGCCTGAGCAAGAATGAGAAGACCTTGTCTCTACTAAAAATAGAAAACTAGCCAGGTGGTGTGGTGGGTGCCTGTAGTCTCAGCTACTTAGGATGCTGAGGCAAAAGGAACTCTTGAGCCCAAGAGTTTGAGGTTGCTGTGAACTATGGTATACCACAACACTTTATCCAGGGTGACAGAGTGAGACTCTGTCTCAAAAAATGAATGAGTGAATGGCACCTGTCTCTGATCAACAGGCACTAGTGTTCTTAACAGGAAGCCTTCTATCCTGGACATCAGGAACCTCTGTCTCTGTCCCAGAAAATGTCCATGTTAAAAGCTTTTCCAGAGAGTCCAATAGATCTGTGGTCAGGGTGGGCTGGTCCAGCATTTCACATACACTGCCCTTAAAAACAACCAGTAAGAAAAGGAGGAAAGGTGCATTCTGTCAGTGTTCTCAGAGGTCTCTGTCTGAATGTCCTGACCAAACAACTGAGGTATGGGACTGGATCTCAAGTGCAGCATTGAAAAGAAGAGGGTGATTGTCCTCCTAGAAACTCTAAGAAGATCAACTGAAAACTTAACAAAAGTTCTACAAAGATTAGAACATATTTTTTTTAATCCCCACATCACTAGTTTTGAATTTGGAGAGAATATTGCAGTTGATTGAAAGCAGTGAATAAGTGACAGTAGGAAAGAGTCAGAGTCTTGATGAGCACTGGCTCCCGCCCCCAGGTAATCAGAGACTCCGAATCTGCACAACCCAACCCCAACAGTAGGAGGGTAGCGTGTGAGATGTGAGTGCTTATTCTACAGGAGTCTTGGAGGCCTTTCTAAACATAAAAGTAATGAGAATAAAGAGAGGATTCTGTAAATTGTTTAGATTTCCTGACATCAAAGAACATTGCAACTAAACTAGGAAATGCACTTTTAAGATAAATATCCTTAATACAGAGTCAGCAAAGAAAAGACTGGACAAGAAGCCTAGGGAGCTCAAAAGGCAGAGATTGATATGGTCAGAGTGTGGCCGACAGGGTGTCTGGAGTGGATGCACAGACTCCCCGGCCTGTGGCTGATGGGAAGCACATTTGAACTGCCTCCTCACAAGACAGAAAGTGTTCCTGCTTGTTCACCTTTATCCTAAGGAAGTGTGGGGACTTGTTGATAAATATTTTGTGTATTTATAGTAGTGAAAAAACTGGTAGTACATTCCTTGTGGAATAATTGATTTGTGATGTATTCCTATTGGAATTTATAAAAACATTTAAAATTATATGTGTGTGTATATACATATATACTTTTTTTTTTTTAAAGACAGTCTCACTATGTCAGCCCTGGTAGAGTGCCATGGTGTCAAAGCTCACAGCAACCTCAAAAGTCTTGGACCTAAGTGATTCTCTTGCCTCAGCCTCCCAAGCAGCTGGGACTATAGGTGCCTGCCACAACGCCCAGCTATTTTTTTGGTTGTAGTGTCATTGTTGTTTGGTAGGCCCAGGCTGGGATTGAACCTGTCAGCTCTGGTATACATGGCTCGCACCCTAGCAGCGGAGCTACAGACGCTCAGCCTTTTTTTGAGACAGTCTCACTTTGTCACCCTGGGTAGAGTGCCGTGGAATCATAGCTAAAAGCAACCTCAAACTCTTGGGCTCAAGTGCTTCTCTTGTCTTAGCCTCCCAAGTAGCTGGGACTACAGGCACCCAACACAACACCTGGCTATTTTTTTAGGGACCAGGTCCTGCTCTTGCTCAGGCTGGTCTTGAACTCCTGAGCTCAAGCAATCTACCCACCTCAGCCTTCCAGAGTGCTAGGATTATAGGCATAAGCCACTGTGCCTGGCCTAAAATTATGTATTTTAAAACAGAAAAAAATGCCTAAAAATAATATAACAGAAAATAGAAATATAAAATATTCATAAAACATGATTGCCATTTTGTATGCATTTTTTTTAAATGACTAGAAGGAATTATATGTACTATTAATGGTGTTTATTTTAGGGTGTTGAGATTGTGGTTTTTGTCTTCATGTTTTATTCTTTCCTCTGTTTTCTAATTTTTAAAGTTTGTATTAAGAAAAGATGAGCTAGGCAGGTGCAGTGGCTCATGCCTGTAATCCTAGCATTCTGGGAGTCCTAGGCAGGTGGATTGCCTGAGCTCAGGAGTTCCAGCCTGAGCCGGAGCAAGACCTTATCTCTAAAAATAGCTGGGCGTTGTGGCGGGTGCCTGTAGTCCCAGCTACTTGAGAGGGTGAGGCAAGAGACTCACTTGAGTCCAAGAGTTTGAGGTTGCTGTGAGCTATGATGCCACTGTACTCTACCAAGGGCAACAAAGTGAGACTTTGTCTCAAAAAAGAAAAAAAAAGTTGAGCTGTGCTTTCTGCATGCCATGGAGTTCTTTGGCAGTGTGAGGGGACCTGGGGTTAGCTGGCTGCCTCTTGGCCATGTGTTCACAGTAGTAGGAAGGAGAAGCTGGAGAGGTGGGTGGTGGAACCAGGGAAGAGCCTCTGGGTGACACGACAGGCAGGGAGGGTAATGCAAATTTTCTCATGAAATGGTATGGGGCACACATCAGATAGCTGCCTTTGAAATGTTTTTCTGGGAATAAGCACTTGGCAGTGTCCTCGTGGGATTTGGACATGAGACCTGGGGAGTCTTTTCATTATTCTGCTCAGGTACTTCCTCCCCTTCATGTACTGATATGGTCTTCAAAAGAAAGATAGTTCTCCTGGAAGGTTGTCATTATCACCCACTTCCTGGCAGTCCTCTAGCTTACATGTTTCTTCATACTTCTAGCAGCATCTGTTTCCCTCGGTCATGATGGTAGCATGTTTTGAAGCTTGGTCTCCTGCCTCCCTCGCCAGGCTGAGGTGTGTCCCCACAGTGAGGCACAGCGGCTGCCTGAGTTGCTGTCAGGGAGTAGTTGCACTTTCCACTACGCTGATAGGACCTGGCTATAGGCAGGCGCTCCCTTTTCCCTGTGACCCTAGGTCAGGTTCTTTACCTTGCAGAACTGGGACCTGAAGTTAGAGAAAGGCGTAGATTGCATACAGTCTACTGGCAGGTGACTTTTCCGTAGTGACACACCCCACACTGAGATTTTGGTTTTCTCTCATAGCTCAGAGACAGTCTCTTCTACCTAAGAAAAGGTGGGCAAATTGCATTTTTCATAATTTGTCCGGTAAAACTTATTTTTCACTTTCTAGATAGAAAATCAGGTATGTAATGGACTTGTTCAAGTTGCCCTCTCATCCCTTCCCTGGAATCTGATAAGCCAACCAGAGGACTTTTCCTCAGTTTGAGCATTACCAGTGTTGTGGAAGCTTAAAAGAAATTCCAGCAGAATTCTTGATAGGAATCACTAGCAGTACCAGAGTTCTAAATTGGAGGTCCTCCACATACAGGGTGTAGCCTTAGTTAGAGGTGAAATTGGCAAGAAAGAAAGAATGAGACCAAGGTTAAAAATCAGGGAGTTCTTAAATTTAGTACTTAAGAAGAGGAGAAAAATGATTCTAAGAAGAGTGGATGAGACTTGACCACATTAAAATTTTCTCGAGACTTCTATGTCTAGCTTTAATAAATTGAAGTTATATAACTTTGATAGTTTAAGAGTCTCAATGTACCTCAGTTTCCTCATCTGTAAAATGGGAATACTAGTATGTAGGAGGTTGTTAAAAAGATTAAATGAGCTAAAAAAATCTATTAAAACTATAACTGGTACCAGGTACAAGGAAGTTCTTGATGAATCCTCACTGTTACAATTCTTGCTGTGAGTATGTTAGTACAAGTTGAGCAAGCAGAGTCTGAAAATCTGAAATGTTCTAAAATCTTAAACTTTTTGAACATTTTGACAAGATGCTCAAGTGTTCCAATGCTCAGTGGAACATTTTAGATTCTCAGATTTGGTTTACTCAACTAGTAAAAATAATGTGGATATTTCATAATCTGAAACACTTCTGGTCCCAGGCGGAAGGGAACCTGTTTACATGTGTATGACTGTTTTGCTATGGAAAACTAAGTCACAGCCATGACTTACCCCAGTAAACCTACCCTAGTAGGCCCTGGGTCCCAGCCAGCAGCTCTCCCTTGTTAATTCACTGCTTTCTCTAAGCACAGGGTCTCTCCTATAGGCTCTACTCAGAAACCCTTCATGATGGGGAGCCTTACTTTTTTCTTTTCTTTTCTTTTCTTTCTTTTTTTTTTTTTAGAGTCTCATTGTGTTGCCCTCAGTAGAGTGCCATGGTGTCACAGCTCACAGCAACCTCAAACTCTTGAGCTTAAGCGATTCTCTTGCCTCAGCTTCCCAAGGAGCTGGGACTACAGGTGCCTGGCTATTTTTGGTTGTAGTTGTCGTTTGGCAGGCCCAG